CGGGGCCGCGCGCTCCCCCCTGCCCGCCGCTCCCGCCGCGTCCCCCCGCCGAGAAAAGTTACGGCGCTGCCTCCCGCGGGCGCGGCGGAGCGGCCCTGCTCGCGCCTCCCGCTCCCGGCTCTGTTGGGGGCTTTCCGTGTGGAAACGAGCCAGCGCGGAGCAGTTTTCGCGCAGTTCAGCGGGTGCTCGCAGAAGTTTCAACTTCTTAAGCAGCTTTGGGTGAACGGTCGTTACTGAAATCGCTGCAGGCGACGGCGGGGAGGGGGGCGCTCTTTTAAGGGCTCGCCTCGGAGATGTTTCGAGGCGAACGCAGGCAGGTAAGTCACCCTGGCGAGCGCCGCCCCCGGCGCCGGGTGACACCGGGCGCCGCCGAGCCCGGCGCGTTCGGGAGAGCGCGCAAGGCGGTGGGGACGCGGCGGAGGTGACGCGGCCGCCCCAGAGCCGCCCTCGGGAGCGGAGCGCGCCGAGGGGCCGCCCGGGAGGGAGCGCGGCCCGCAGCGCGGCGCTCCGCGGCCTGCGGAGCGGGATCCCCGCTTCCCGGCGCCGAATCCGCAGAGAAACAGGTGCAGGGGAGGAGGAGGAAGTACAATTCCCAGTTTTATGGGAAGCTGTCTGCGCGCCCTCGCTCTTCCATGTTATTTCTAGGGAGATATGCCTCAAGAAGAACTTTTTTTTTTTTTTTTAACCTATTTGGAATAACTTGGAATAGTTTGGAAAAACTTAAAGGATTTTTTCTCTTTTTTCATTTTTTTAATTTATTATTGCCATTATTATTACAATCGTTTCTACAAAAGCCCAGCCTCTGCTTTTTTTTTTTGCTTCCAGTGGCTCGTAGTGTTAATCCTATATGACATGGAAGTTTCCATTGCAGATCCCACAGTAGGACTTGAAGTGAAAAATATGCATGGAACAGATGGCATTCAACAACAACAACAAAAAAAAAGTCCGTTTTTTTGTATTTTTTTGTCTTTTTTCTCCTGTGGATATCTTAATAATGAGAGAGATGAGGAGAATGCAGATGTGCTGTATAATAGACCACGTGGAAGCACAAGCTTTCTGGATTATGACGAAAAAGACTTTGCTTTGAGAACATTGTTGCAGGGTGTTGTCACCTTGTCTCATAGATTTGGCTGCTTAGAAGGTGCTTTTAGTGCAATTCTTGAAACTCCTTTTTTATACTGGGAAATGAAGGCACTACGGAAAAGTAGTCTCTTATAGGGGGAAAAAAAAGAACTGTTTTATAGAGAAGTAATCACTAGCACTTTCATTACATCTTAAAATATTTCAAGAGTTGGTGAACACTAGTTTTTCTTTTTAGTATTAGAAAATACCGTATTTGGATCTGCAGATTTCGGGAGTGTTGAGTGGTTGTTCTCCGGTAAGTGAAAAAAGGTGTTTGCTTGTTTGTCTGAAGGGTTAGAAAATGCTTTTTTCAATTAAGCTTCAAGTTTACAAGGTGTGTGAAGTTGTGTAATTGCTGGATTGACTCAGTCTTTGAGGTCTGTGTACTTCAGAGTTGCTTCACTCATTTGTCTGAATGAGCAGATTGGAAAAGGCGTAGTAATATAAAGTGGAGCTAAAGCCTGAGCACACCTGTTCAGTAAATTTCTGACTGTCCTTGCATGGCCATAGCTTTTTTTCCTTTGTTTTGAAAACAAAACTCACTCAAATGTGAGATTGTTGTTCCTTTAACTTACTGTGGATAGTTCAGAGTTGCATTGCTTCACCAATTGCAAAATCCCGTATCTCCCACCAAGTTTGTTTAATTTCTTAATTTTTTTTGCTAACTCGTTTGGAATTCATTGCTCTTAGGGAGGCAAGAGCCGTTTAGATTCCGTTTCATTAACAAGAATGTCAGTAGATGTTCTAGTGTCACTTCTGCAGTGACCGGGATAGCAGCTAAGGAGTGTGTGTCTTCTGCTTCAGTAAGAGCAATAAAGTGCCCGTTCTCTTTGCTCGTCAGGTTTGACGAAAGGCAGTGAGGCCAGTAGAAACAAGGCTGTCCCTGGACTCCTTCCTGAGTGCCAGGGTGTTGTTTAACTTGTGTTCCCCGAGTTAATGTTCCTGTGAAAATGCACCAGTTACCGTATGGTCAAAAGATAAATGTGCATTTTGGGGAGTATATATGAAGATTGATAGTGGCTAAGTCCCAGTTGCCCCATATGTATGTGTGCAGATACTGCACAGGCCTAAAAATTTAAGGCTCGGTTGAGGCATTAGCTTGGCAATAAATGAGAGAGCATATTAATCATATAGATTAGTGGTCAGACTTTATCACTCTAATTTGGGTTTTTTTTTTTTTTTTTTTTGATTAAATCAAATGTGTTTCTCTTACTTCCTCCCGTATTTGATTTATAAAATCATTGGCACAGACGAGAATTAACACTTCATGCTTTTCAGACTTGAGTGTAATTAAATAGCAAAAAGACTTTGCAGAGCCTTGGTGCCTTGGTCTCATCAATGACTAATCTGAAATAGTGGTATTCCCATCATCTTGTTTTTAGAAAAACCTTTGAACCAATGAATTCAAATGTAACTAAGATGTTCTGTAGTAGCTGATGTTCAGAAAAAAACATCTGGGGTGCCGTTCACCTCTGTGACTGAGGAACACCAGAAGCTACCGAAGTTCTAGGGCTTGGAGTCATTGCAGTAAAAATGCCTGTGATTTTTTTTTTTCCTGGTGTCTTATTATCTCTTCTAGTTCAGTATTTTTGTAAAGTTTTCTTCCATCTTTGAGTATTAAGATTGTGATGTGCTGATCGTGGATCTTAATAGGCAAAGCTGTGAGTCTATATTGTTGTGCAGATGCATGTTCTTCCTTTCAAGAATCCCCCCCCCCTTTTTTATTTTTATTTTTTTCCTTTCAGAAGAGGAAATAAATAAATACATTAAGGGAATTCTAGAATAATCTTGCCTTCAGCTTCTCTTTTAAGTCCAAGTATATAGCAAGTATCTGGGAAGGATAATAGAGTGGCTGAGAATAACTGCCAGTGGGGTTCAGAGTTTTCATGTGACAGAGGCCGTTTTCCTGCGTGTTTGTGTGACCCTTATAGCATAGTTGCAACATACAGAGCGTGTGGCAGTGACCAGCACTCTTTGGACTCTTGTCATCCCCAATTTGTTCGGAACAGTTACCTTGTAAATAAAGGGCCAGGGCTGCCATAGAGCTATATGGGCACAAAGCTGCTGAGTAC